CCCTGCAGGCAAAATATTCTTGATTATCATCTGTTTTCTGTATGTGTAATCCTTCCGCTGGACCATGTCCAGGTTTAAAGGACTCAGGCTCAACATCTCCAGTTTCTTCATCAAGAAGGGTGTTGATTTGTAATGTGTCACAAGAAGATACATTAGTTTTAGGTTCTAAGGAGGAAAAAATTGTATAATTAATATTTTTCTTTCAAAAGGAAACAAAAAATACTTATTTTCAAATATTATCTGTAAATACTATCAAATATTTACTTAAGAAAGTCAATGTATTTCATTCAGGCAGATTAAAGTTCAAGTTTTTCATAATCTAATAAACTGTAATAATTTTATATAAAGGTAAACAAACAGAATTGTGTTAGAAAAGTGATTTTTAAACTAAAAAATTATCTATTCTTTACTGAAATCACCTTTTCTTCTTAGTTTTTTTTCATAGCTTTATTGAAGTACAACTGACAAAAATTGTAAAAAAGGTAGACAATGTGATGTTTTGATATATGTATACATTGCCAAACATTACTATAATCAAGCTAATTAACATGACCATCAATTCACAGTTACAATTTTTTGTGTGGTGAGAACACTGAAGATCAGTTCTCTTAACAAATTTCAAGTATACAGTATACATGCAGTATTTACTATTATCACCATGTTGCACATTAGATCTCCAAAGCTTATTTATTCTGTGTAACTGAAACTCTGTACCCTTTGACCAACATCTCCCCAATTCCCCACATATCTTACCTAATTTTTTATTTCATGTCTTTTTTTTTTTTTAGGGCTTGGAGTCTTTTATTTCTCCACTGGTCCATAGGGTGGTGGGTGGGCCCATTATAGGGCCACCTTGCAGGCCCCTAGCCTCTGGCCAGATCTGCCTCCCTCTGCTCATGCTGCTTCTTCTGCTGCAGCAGTTTTTTGCTTAAGTAATATTAATACCTCTTTCCTATTTCAAAGCCTCAGATTTTATGATTATAAATTATCTAAGTATTAACATGAGAAATGACCATTGTTTTTTAGAATATTTCCTGCCAGACATTTTTCTCTGTGTATATTTAGAAATTTAATTTAAAAATATTTCCAATAATTAGTAAGTATAACTTCCAAACCTTGAGAGGGAAAAAGAACACTAAACAAATCAACCGAAAGGATAGTTTATTGCTTATAGAATGGGAGAAAATATTTACAAATCTTGCATCTAATAAGGGTCTAGCAGTTATAATATGAGGACCCTTACAACCCCAGAATAAAAAAACAGATAACCTAATTAAAATATTGGCAAAGAACTTGAACAGACATTTCTTTAAAGATATAAAAATGGCCTCTAAGCATATGAAAAGGTGTTCAACATCATTAGTCACTAGGAAATGCAGAATTAAAACCACAATTAGATACCACTTCACATCCACCAAGATGGTTATCATTTTTAAAATAGCAAATTATAAGTACTGGAGATGATGTGGAGAAATTGGAACCCTTAGGTATCATGGTGGGAACACAAAATGGTACAGCTGCTACAGGAAAGTTTGGTAATTCCTCAATAAGTTAAACACAGACTTACCATATGACCCCACAAATGCATGCCTAGGTATATATTTGAAGTACTTGGAGATATATGTCTACACAAATGTTTGTATATGAATGTTCCTGGCAGGTTAATAGCTCAAATTCATACAGCCAAAAAGTAGAAACAATCCAAATGTCCATCAACTCATTGTACATCTATACAGTGGAATATTATTCAGCTGCAAAATGGAATGGTTAACAATGCATGCTTGGATGTATGTTCTGATGGATGACCACTAAAAACATCATGCTAAGTGAAAGAAGCCAGTCACAAAAGGCCACATATTACACGATTCTATTTACATGAATGTCCAGAACAGGTTAATCCACAGAAACAGAAAATAGATTAGTGGTCACCAGGGGTTTGGGGTGGGATGGCAATGGGGTTTCTATTTGGGGTGGTGAAAATGTTCTGGAAATAGACAGTGATGATGGTTGCATTGTCTTGTGAATATATAAAAGACCATCAAATTGTACACTTTATTTTTATTTTTTTAAAGATTTTATTTATTTATTCTTAGAGAGAGGGGAAGGGAGGGAGAAAGAGAAGGAGAGAAACATCAATGTGTGGTTGCCCCTCACATGGCTCCCACTGGGGACCTGGCCCACAACCCAGGCATGTGCCCCGGCTGGGAATCAAACCATTTGGTTCGCAGCCTGAGCCCAATCCACTGAGCTACACTAGCCAGGGCTAAATTGTACACTTTAGAGTCTACTCTGTCCTTACCTTCTGACTATGAGAAAAAGAACCACAGCCAAATACATCTGGCAGTATTTGTACATCTGGCTGAAATGAATAATGAAGCAAATGTAAGTGAATGAGCTAGCTTTACCTGAATGGTTTAGCTGTGGTGAAACTTCTGGCTGAAGCAAAGAATCTTGTTCTTTCACTGTTTTCTTAATAAAATTCTTAACCTTCTCAGCTCTTTGGGCACGCTAGAGAAAGCAAAAGCAGCTCAAGGAACAAATTAAGGGAAAAAACATTTTTTAAAGCTTCATTATTACAAAGAAATGTTTTTGTAGAGTCTGTGCTATAATACCTCAGTTTGAGAGAATAAGATTCACTTACCTGAAGGCGGGCCAGGGTCTTGCTGTATTCCCTCTTCAAGAATGCTAATTTCTCCTTCAACTGGAAGTATAATACCAGACAATATTGAGCAATGGAAAGAGTACAGTGAGCAGAGAAACAGGGTACAGTGCCTATCTGACATGAGTGTGAGCTGCTCAGCTGGTCCCTCAGCAAGAGGCAGTGGTACCAGCTCACATTACTCTCACTTCTCACAAAGCACCAAATCCTCTCTTGTGTCAGTACCTTTGCACAGACTGTTATCACCTGGAGCATTTCCTCCCAGCTCACTTTGCTAATTCTTACTGATTCCTCAAGCCTCATCTTAGATTTTTATTTTCCTGGTCCTTCTTCAATCCAGATTAGACACTCCATCTCTCCTCTATGCTTCCTTTATCACAGTACTTATTATACTTTGTTATCTGTTTACTTCTCCATTCCCCTACCCCCCATTCTCACTGTGAGATCCTACAAGGTAGCAGAAGCTGTTACCCTCAGACATTCACTTGGAAAATGAATCTCTTATTTGTCGGGTATTGGTCCAGGTATCTCCACCACCTGGGAACACATTTGTATTAGTATGTAAGGCTATCAGCTATTGTTCCAGGTATACAGAGTGCTCAAGCTTACACATAGTAAATGATGCAGACAATAAACAAGAAAATAAACAGGGGAGTGGGAGGAGGAGGGGGGAAAATGGTACAGAAAATAAGTAGCATAGATGGTAGGTAGAAGATAGACAGGGGGAGGGTAAGAATAGTACAGGAAATTTAGAAGCCAAAGAACTTACAATGACATGAACTAAAGTGGGGGAATGCGGGTGGGAGGGGGTGTGTGGGGTGGAGGGGAGTGAAGGGGGGAAAATGGGACAACTGTAATAGCATAATCAGTAAAATGTTTAAAAAGTTAATTAATTTAAAAACAAAGAAAACAAATAAACGGATTTCACACAGTAATCAAGTGAGAGCTCCAGAGTTATGGGAATGGACTACACTTTCGATAAGGTGGCCGAGGATCATTTCTGAGGACTACCATTTGAATCTAGACCTGGAAGAGGACGGAGAGGCTAGGGAAGATCAGAGGGAAATCAGTTTGTCCAAGATCACACAGCTTATAGATTGTATGTGATTCAAACCCATGCAGTCCAGCTCTAGAGTCTGTACTCTCTGCTAGACTGCTTCTCAAGCAGTCTAACAGAGACTACGTCCTATTAATCACCAGGCTTATCAATTATCTGTAAATTATCTTGACTTGTAAATACCCCTCTCACCCCCACTAGAAGGTAGGCTGGGATGACTGTTGGTTAATGTGAATGAAGAGTGTAGCACAAAGCCTGGAACAGCCAGCACAAGATACATCCTAGCTAATATCAGCATAAGCAAAGGTGGCATAAATACAGATAGTCAGAGCAACTGTTGTAGAAACAACTGTTGTAGAAACAAAAGCTGGAAACCACGTGTCTCTCAGCAGAGTAATAACTAAAAAAACCATGGCAATTCCATACTACAGAACACGATACAGAACTTTAAAAATAGGGTCGATAAACATATACTAATATGGATGTCAATCAAACATGGAGAAGGAAAACAGAAGCTGCAGAACCATCAAGATTGTACCATATATGAACATTCTCCTTTCGAAAAACAACACATCACTTTTTGGTGGTTAGAGAATACAACCGCGCCCCTCCGCACTCCTCACCAGACTAGTAACAGACTTAAGGGGCGGGTTAGGAGGAGCCAAGACCGAGAGTGTGTTGGGGCAGAGAGGGTGTCAATGGGGACTTTAGTTTTATCTACAGTTTTGCATTTTGTATTTATGCCTTAGTGCTGTAAAAACTTTTAAAGCAAATGTGTTCTTTAAACACTACCAGGCAAGCACAGCGCTTTTCTACGCTTTCACTCCCTGGGAGATCCCGAGTTGAAAGAGCGTAGGTTAAAGGTCAGTGCAGCCCCAGACAGCCGGAGACATAGAAGCCGGCCTACAATGCTGGAGAGAGGTGAGAATTCGGAGTCAGCCCTTCCCGTACGCCCGACACCTTTTCCTTCTCCTCGCAGCTGAGGGGCTTCCCGGGAGCCTCTTCCATCGCGCCTGAGAACGAATCGGAAAGAGCAGCCGTACGGGGACTGTGGATAACAAAACTGCAACTGGCTTTAAGCCCCACTGGCACCTCTAGAAGGAATGGGCGCCCCGCTCCCCTCAGCGCGCGACCTGCTGGCCCACGCAGTCCCCGCGCACGGTCTACCCGGCCAATGAAGACCTTCGTTCAGTTTACGCATGCGCAGCCAGGCACTGCCGGACAGCGGATCTGGGCCGCCTAGCGGAGAGCAGAGCTGTGGAGGAGACCCGAGGCCTCCTGGGAGCGGAAGTGCAGGATTCGCCGGAAGTAGCCGGCGTCTGGGACCGACGGACCCGCTGACAGTGTTGGACAGGAGCAGGCCGGAGCTGGTGAAAAGACTTGGTGGCTATGGAGTTGGGCGAGCTGCTCTACAACAAGTCCGAGTACATCGAGACGGTGCGCGCCTGTCTGCACATCAGCCCTTCCTTTCCAAGCCTGTGTCCCTTTGGGGCCGGTGCCCCATCTTGTGTCTGCCCCACCCCGGCGGGTCCCTGTGGCATGTATGGGCGTGTATGGCCTGGCCTTGTTGTTTATTCTTTAAATGGCCAGTTTAGGCTTTTTTCATTTTAATCCTGACTTCCTCGTGGAGATAAAATGGTTTTCAGAAAGCAGGACAAGTCTCGTCCATCCTAATATTAATTACAGCTCCCGGCTTCAGGCTTTTAAAAACTATTTTTAAAAAAACCTGTCATAATTTATTGCTATGTGCTGAAGATTGTTAGGTTCTTTATAGTCAATACATGATGTCTGTAAGTTGCTCAATGTTACTACTATTGCTTCTCATTGAATTCCCACAGTTCTGTGATACTGGTGAAGTCTTTATCCTGGCTTTAGGGTTTTAAAACGAGGTATAGAATTAGGACTTGAGTCCATGTCTCTGATGTCAGTAGGCTATAGACAGACTCACGACATTCAAATTCTGAATCCATTCTTTGAATCTCTAGTTTCCTAATCCATTCTATCTTTACTGAAATCCTGGACTCATCCCAGTGTAGACTACATGCCATTTCAAGTCGTTTTTTCTCAATATGAACTTCCTTGATGGAGAAACCCACTCAGCTCGCTCCCCCACATTTCCTGCTGTTTGCTTTCAGGCATCTGGGAACAAAGTTAGTCGCCAGTCAGTGTTGTGCGGAAGTCAGAACATCGTTCTCAATGGCAAGGTAAGGAATAAAGCCACCTCCAGGATGCATACTGTTGCCTTCTTTCCACAAATTATCACCTTAGCAGGGCAGATAAAATGTTGCCATGTTTCCCATTTATTGCTGTACATTGAAAATTTCTCTCGTTTTTAATTTTCCAAGTTGGATTTATTAAATACAAAAGAGATTTAATAAAAAGAGCCAACAGAAAGCCTTTTTCCTTATATGACAGGAACACAATACAGTGGTACTCAGAACTGAAATTATTACACAGTTTTGAACTATTGGACATAAAACATAAATAGGTAACAAACTAGTGTAGAAACTAAAGTAATACTACATTAATATAATTATCTGTTTATAATAATGATTCAGTATTAATGGAAACTCTTAAAATTAATATGAGGATGTAGAAAGATAGTAAAATTTGAGACAAATTTGTAAAATGAAATATTAAAGGCTCAGAATCTTGTAGTCTGAATAAATTGAAGTAACAGAGAGATGAGTATAAACTTAGTAATAATATTAGAACATTTCAGAACCAGAGAAAATACCAAGATATATTTGAGATTAAGTCTGTGTCTCCTGCTGTCTGGAATACTCAGTTTTCCTTGAAATGTTAGATCTCTAACCTCCTGAGGGAAAATAGTATCACTGTAATCAAGAGATCACAAATATTTTCAGTAGAGACACAATTACTCTCACCATTAGCCCATCATATCATGAGATTTAATGGAAAAGAAATAGTTCACTAGATATAATGATATAATTAGTAATTATAGACACACTATTTTTGCCCAGAAATAAATTCATTTAACTCCATCCGACACACTAGCAAATGCACAGAGGTTTTTTTGGAAATCCTTCAGCTAATTCTAAAACATTTTCTGTGATTTTGTAGGGAAGATTTTGTTTTTATTCTAGTAATATATATAACAAAATTTGCCATTTTAATCATATTTAGGTGTATAATTTATTGACATAAATTACATTCACAGTGTTATGCAACCATCACCACTATCTGTCTCCAAAACTGTTTCATCATCCAAACAGAAAGTCTACCCATTAAGGAATAACTCCCCATTTCCATCTTCCTCTAGTCCCTGGTAACCTTAATCTACTTTCTGTGTTTATGAATTTGCCTATTCTATGCTTACCTGGCAGGGGAGATACCATGATCAGGAATTTGCCTATGCTAGATATTTCATTTATGTGAAATCATATAGTATTTGTGTATTTTGGCGGGGGAAGGTCTGGCTTACTTTATTTAGCATAAATTTTTCAAAATTCGTCCATGTTGCAGCATGTATCCTTTTCATGGCTGAATAATATTTTATTATATGTATGTACCACATTTTTGTTTATCTATGCATTTGTTGAACACTTCCTCTGTTGTTTCTACCTTTTGGCTATTGTGGGTAAAGCTTCTCCGAACATTGGTGTACAAGTATCTGTTTGAGTACCTGTTCTCAGTTCTTTTGGGTATATATTTAAGAGTGGGAGTGCTGGGTCATATGGTAATTCTATATTTAGCTTTGTGACTTTGTAACTGTTTTCCACAAGGACTGAACCATTTTATATTCTCTCTGCAATGCAATTGAGTACCAGTTTCTTCACATCTTCACTAACACTTGTTATTTTCTGGGTTTTGAATGTGGACGTGGATGGTATTTCATTGTAGTTTCTGACTTGCATTTCCCTAATGATGATGAATAACTTTAAAATACTTATTAGTCATTTATATATATTCTGTGGAGAAATGTCTATTCAGTCCTTTGCCCATTTTTAAATTGTACTATCTTTTTGTTGTTGGGTTGTAGTTCTTTATATATTCTGGATATTAAATCTCTTTATCAGATAGATGATTGCAAATAAATTCTACCACTCCGAGATTATCTTTCACTTTATTTTTTAAAAGATCTTATTTATTTATTTTTAGAGAGGGGAAGGGGGGGAAAGAATCATCAATGTGTGGTTGTCTCATGCGCCCCCTACTGGGGACTTGGCCCACAACCCTGGCATGTGCCCTAGACTGGGAATGGAACTGGCAACCCTTGGGTTCTTAGGTTGGCACTCAATCCACTGAGCCACACCAGCCAGGTATTTTTTTAAAAAATTTTATTCATTGATTTTAGAGAGAGAAAGGGAGAGAGACAGAAACATCGATTTGTTCCATTTATTTGTGCATTCATTGGTTGCTTCTTTTTTAAAAAATTAACACTTGCCCTGGTTGTTGTGGGTCAGTGGATTGAGTGCCGGCCTGTGAACCAAAGTTGTCACTGGCTTGATTCCCACTGTAGGAAACATGTCTGGTTGCAGGCCAGGTCCCCAGTATGGGGTATGTGAGAGGCAATCACACATTGATATTTCTGTCCCTCTCTTTCTCCCTCCCTTCCCATCACCAAAAATAAATAAATAAATAAAACTCTTTAAAAACAAGAAATCTTTAAAAAATAAATAAATGTAATTCTCACTCAAGGATATGTTTACTGATTTTAGAGAAAGAGGAAGGCGGGGGGAAGAAAGAGAGAAAGTGGGGGGAGGAGGAAACATTGATGTGATAAACATTTATCAGTTGCCTCCCATATTCACCCTAAGCAGGGTTTGGACCCACAGCCTAGGTATGTGCCCTGTGTATTTTGGCAGGGGAAGGTCTGGCTTACTTTACTTAGCATAAATTTTTCAAAGTTCGTCCATGTTGCAGCATGTATCCTTTTCATGGCTGAATAATATTCTATTATATGTTTATTCTATCATATTTAGGTGTATAATTTATTGACATAAAATAAGTGCTACTTTTATGTTCCTCTCCTGTCCCTTTCTTCTGCCCCATTCCAAGAGTGAACCTGCGACACTTGGGTTCACAGCCTGAGCTCAATCCACTGAGCTATGCCAGCCAGGGCTTATTTTTATTTTTTTTAAAGATTTTATTTATTTATTTTTAGAGAGGGGAAAGAGAGAGAGAAACGTCAACGTGCAGTTGCTGTGGGCCATGGCCTGTAACCCTGGTCGGGATTTGAGCTCACAACCTTTTGGTATATTGGACAATACTCCAGCCAACTGGGCTACTTGGATGGGTCATTGGTTGCTTCTTGTATGTGCCTTGACCAGAGATTGAACCCACAACATTGAGTATCAGGACTACACCCTTAACCAACTGAGCTACCCAGCCAGGGCTCTTTCAACTTTGTTGATAATGTTCTTTGATGCACAAAAGTTTTTAATTTTTATGAAGTCCAATTTATCTATTTTTTTCTTTTGTTGCTCAAGTTTTTGGTGTCATATCTAAGAATCCTTTGCCATACCCAAGGTCACAAAGATTTACTCTTATATTTTCTTCTGAGTTTTGTGGGTTTAGCTCTTGTATTTAGGTTGTTAGTGCATTTTGAGTTAATTTTTATATATGGTGTGATGTAGGGGGTCCTAATTCATTAATTCTTCTGGATGTGAAAATCTAGTTGTCTCGGTGCTGTTTGTTAAAGACACTATTCTTTCTCCATTGAATGCGCTTGGCATCATGTAGAAAATCAATTGGCCATAGATGTATGGGTTTATTTGTGGAGTCTCACTTCTGTTCCCTTGGTTGATATGTCTATCCTTATGTCAGTACCCCTGTACTATACTGCTTTTGTTATTGTAGCTTTGTAGTAATTTTGTAATCAGAAAATATGAGTCCTCCAAGTTTGTCCTTTTTTCAAGATTGTTTTGGTTGTTTGGGCCATCTCTTTCTTTTTATTTTATTTTATTTTTATTTTTATGTTTATGTTTATTATTTATTTTTTTAAAAAGATTTTATTTAGTTATTTGTTTGTTTGTTTATTTTAGAGAGGGAAGGGAGGGAGAGAGAGAGAGAGAGAAACATCAATGTGCAGTTGCTGGGGGTCATGGCCTGCAACCCAGGTATGTGGCCTGACTGGGAATTGAACCTGTGACATGGGTTCACAGCCCGAGCTCAATCCACTGAGCTATGCCAGCCAGGGCTTATTTTTATTTTTTTAAAATATTTTATTTATTTATTTTTAGAGAGGGAAGGGAGAGAGAAAGAGAGAGAGAGAAACGTCAACGTGTGGTTGCTGGGAGCCATGGCCTGTAACCCAGGCATGTGCCCTGACTGGGAATTGAATCTGCGATGCTTTGGTTCGCAGCCCGCGCTCAATCCACTGAGCTACGCCAGTCAGGGCCTTCTTTTTATTTTTTAAAAAAATTTTTATTGTATCTTTTTTCCATTGCCATTTAGTCCCCTTTTACCCCCTC